CCGCGCCGCCGGGCAAAGCCCAGTAGGTGCTGGCGGCCGGGGGGGCCTATCTCCTCCTCGCACGAGGACTCGACGCGGGCGGGCGTCCTTGGGCGGTGGCGTCGCGTTCATCCGGGGCACGGCAGCATCACGGTCCCCCCGATCTCGCAGCTGACTGAAAATCCCGCGGCCGGCACAGTTTCAGTCAGCTGCGAGATCGGGGGGACCGTGATTTCCGGTGAAAATCGCGCCGACTACGGTCATGGCGGACGATGGCGGCGTCTATAACGTTGTTCCCTTCTTGAGCATCGTTGTTGTAGGTCATAGCGCCCCACTTGTGATGCTCCGGGGGAAACCCTAGATCTAGGCCTACCAAATCGGACGATGATGGCACCTAACGATGGCAATGGGTCGGGTTTGGATCGGGTTGCACAGTATCAAATCCATATCCATATCCATGAAGACATTTTTTGCCCGCATATGAAAAAATCCACGGATGAAAAAATGTGTCCATATCCAAATCCGATGGATATCCATACCCACTGGATATCCATTGGGTCCTCTCGAGACATATAAATAAGACATAACACAATGTTAACATAAGCTCTTCCATTCTTCACCTTGTGGTAGGCTAGGCTTCACTTATGGTATACATTAACTTATGGTAAATCAACATTCACTGACATTCTAACTTCATTTAGTATTTTTCTAACAGATCAGAATGATGAGTCATTTAACAACGAGATAAAAATAAGGGAAGGGGCGTTGGAGTATTCTACGGAGGGGATTGAATGTCAACTAATAAAACTTACGACAGGGATTGTGTAATTTATTTTGCATCTTTTAGATAACAATGTGTAAAATTATAGTGGGGCATGTGATTGTGGGGTAGGGATAGTAGATTTTTGCTCATTAAGTTATACTATCAGGTCGGGTTTGGGTATACCCACGGTACAAGATTATATCCATGCCCTACAAGCAAACAATCGGGTCGGGTTTGGGCGCCACCCATGGACACAAAAGCATATCCAAACCCTATCCATTCGGGTAGGATATCCATGTCCATGGGTAAAATTGCCATCCTTAATGGCACCTTCGATGTCGTTGTCCCTCCAGGGGGGGCATCGTTTTGGAGCACGTGATGGCTGGAGGGGACAAGAGGTGGAGCGGTGTTACATCTACCGCAAGGCCAACGGCGGATCCCGACGGCATGGCGCCGCGGAGGTTCGGCGTTGGGCGCGTTGGAGATGTACTCGCGCAGGAGGATGAAACTGTCTGGCGTCATGATGGCGTTGATGGCAGAGAGGCCTGGCAAAGTCGATGCATCAGTTCTGCTCTGAGGATAACCCGAGTGAAGATGGAAGTGTCGGCCCTTGCAGCGTGTAGTGCTCACTAGGAGTGTGCCAGACCGGTGTGGGACCCAATCCAGGTAGTGACTTTGATGGAACACACGGCTTTAAATGTTAGGCTTTGGTACGATGTCTGTTTGCTATTAGGCCCGGACATTCGACACGCGTTCATCAAGGGGATAAGAGTAGCAACAGCGTTGCCAAGATGGTGGCTTCAGGCTTATTGATGTATCACATTTATGGTCTTTGTGAATAATTAATAATATGGCTAAATGCATCGCCAGATGCAGAGGCCAGGGTACATCCTCCTTTTCCAAAAAAAATTTGACGCAGCCCAAAAAAGTTAGATTTTTTTTCTTTTTGAGTCTCACAACAAAAAGTTAGATGGGTCATCCATCATTGAAGTCTGTCTCCTGCAATTTACTATAGATGATGTGGGATGTCTGGACTCGCTGGACTGGTCCGGGGCTGCACTTGGCACTCCTCCAGTCCTTTATCCTTTCTTTCTCCCTCGCGGCTTTTAAGCTTTGAAACGAGGTGGTGCAAAATCTTAGTGAAAAAAAAAGAAACTAAAACTGAACCTGGCTAGTACCTGTTGTTCGTGGCAGCGACAGGTGGTGGAGGGAGACCTCACGAGATTCGCACCATATAACAAACATAATACGTACTACTAGTATGGCTAAGCTGGCGCGGATGAAAGACAAGGGAAACCAATTCAAAAAAAAAAAAACTGGTGAGCGGACTAGTGCCGTGCAGCGGTTACAGTCCGGGTTTTGACCAGCTGGGTGGGACATGTGCAGTGCAGGTGGTGGGGCACGACGGTAAAAGCGCATAGGCAGCGAGAAGAGCGTGCCGCTGCGCAAAAAGTTATTGCGGCTCCACTCCATACGGGCCGGCCCAAGCCTAGTGTCAGGCAGGCAGCCAGGCAGCGCTCCTCCTCGTTTTAAACGCTCCGTCCTCTCTCCATCACCTCTGCTCTGCTCTCGACTCGCACCGGCACCACCGCCGCCGCCGCCGTCGCCGTCGCGTATACTCTGGCCATCTCTACACCGGACGAGGACCCCTTCCGCCGCGCGCGCTCCAGGTACCGCACCGCTCTTGGGCCCCTGCATTTCCCTCATTTTCTTCTTCTCTGCGCGTGCCTCGTTCATGTTCAGTTCCACGGACACGGAGGAAGATGCTTGTTTTCTAGACTTTTTGGTTTGGTTTCTCCTGCAATCCTTTCAGTTACTACAAGTAATTGTGACTTATGTGCGCCTCTATGGCCGGTTTTCTCAGCCAGACGCTCCTCAATTCCCGTTTCTAGTTGTTACCCGTCCACTATTATCCCGCAACACCCTGGTTCTCACTAATTAAACGATTTTTTTTGCGGGTGCACTAATTAAACTACTCTATGCTTGTAGTACAGTCGATTACTACCCTTTCAAGGTTTTTTTGTTTTTTGGCAAGACCCAACCAGTGTGGCTGCAACCAGGAACCAGGATAACCAACAGTTTCTAGTAAATAATGAGTCTGCCGCTTGCCGGCAACAGGAATACCAAACGCTAGATTTGCTCTGCACAAGAAAATACTGCCCTTATAAGCTGAAAAGAAGGAGGCCATACAAATTCAACGTATTTGTTAGCTATACATTTGTTCTACAGACTAGTACTCCCTCCGTTCGTAAATATAAGTCTTTGTAAAGATTCCACTATGGACCACATATGGATGTATATAGATGCATTTTAGAGTGTAGATTCACTCATTTTGCTCTGTACGTGGTCCATGGTGAATTCTCTTCAAAGACTTACATTTAGGAACGGAGGGAGTAATAGACAAAAAAATGGACCATGTTCACAATGATGCAGAAGCCGGGGGTTTAACCCCCTTTTTGGAGAAAAAAATAGACTGTGTTTTAATCTATGTGTTACGTACATTTCTTGTTTTTTGTCCTGGTGGAATAGTGTAGATCTAGCACTAGCAGTAAAGCATCTATGCCATGAAGCCTTTTAGTAGTACACTAGTACTGCACAGTACAGCATTTTTTTCTTTTGCTTTAAAGGAAAAGCCACACTTCTACTGCTCTAACAATTCGCTAAAACGTCTAGAAAAACAAAGCAATATTACACACGGCGACACTGGTTTTGATGAGCTTTTAAGGGCTGCAAATGCGTCAACTCTGAACCCTTGAAAAATCATGTCCTCAGCAGTGGTTTTGGAGGACCGGCCAGTACTCGATTGTTCCATGAAATTAAAAATACGACACATTTAACTTGGTACTCAGTAAACAGTTGCACGCTAACCTACATCTTGGAGTGAGTAAACAATGCTGCAGCAACCCTAGGGTCCAATTGCACGTGCAAATCTCACTCTGGATCTTCTTCCACACACTAAGCATCTCCTTGCCACTGCCCTAGCTTCCCGACTTCACATAGTTAGGCTAGTCTGGTTCAGATTTGCCTTTATCTGTGTCACTTCTCCTTTAACCTTTATTTAGTTTAGTTGGATTCTCTGATCAGGCAGCAGCTTTTTATATTGGCAATTACCTTGCATACTGGGCTTGTTATCCTGAAAAAAACGAATGAACATCATGTGTGCTGATTTCACTTGCCAATGGATTAGCTCAAAACTGGCGGTAAGGCTGCTGCAATCATGTAAGATCTGACTGCTTGGATAGTGAGCTCAAGCGTGCTGTCCTCTACAGTATACTTAGCCTGTCTTAGTTAAGCTGAGCCCACTTTAACAAAGTGCCACGTGATGTGGTTTCCTGATGCTGGAAACGAGCGTTCGTGTCTAGACTATATTTGGTTTGTGGTAATCGTACTTTGGTGTTCCATTCAAGAAAGTTGTGTGTGATATGATGTGCTCATCTTGGAGACCAGTATTGATGAGCTTTAGTTTCCTTCTTGCGTCCCCTTTCTCTGCTTTATTGATGCCTTCCGTCTTTTACATCATTGCATCTCGACCCTACCACTATGTTTTATTTTTACTTTTAGTTACTTTCTTGTGCAACTTTTTATCTCATGCTTGTATTGCCTTTAAATGAGCGCCGTTCTTTGGATGCATAATTCCTGTCCCTGGTGTTGATTAGCTGTTATGCATTTGTTATCCTATGATTTGACAATGCTTCAGGAGCATAGGGAATCATCTCCGTAGTGAATAAGAAGGCTCAGTAAAGGGCTTGGTTGCAAAACCAGCCTAGAGGCTTCCCATGCACAATTTCTGATCATTCACACTCTTCGGTTTCCTCCGCTTTATTTGACTTCCTTTTAAAAAGAGAAGCAAGCTGCACTAGCTTCAAACACAAGTTTATAAAATTGTCAGGCTCCAGTAGGAATATTTTCCCTTTGATAGTGCTTTGGTCTTTCATGGCATGACCGCGTGGGGCTTTGCCTTTGTGTTTGTTCTTCCTTAGTCCTCATTATGTCTTCCACAGGTGCGCGCATCTACACACTGGCACAAGGAACTGTGTTTCCTCCCACACTCCGCGTGCACACCCACATATCTCATGTTATTGCTTGCAGTTTTATAACGAGTTAAAGGCAAATAGATTTATGTTTGAAGTTGTTCTTTCAGTTTATCATATTTTAGCACTAAAATCTTCATTTTCATTGCAGCTGTTTCATTATTACATTGGCGTAAACAGATGAAGTTGTTGCTCATTTAGTCAAGTTGACTCCGAGATATTCTCTAATGGGTTATCTAAATCTTAGAGGCTCTTTGCTTCCATTGCTCTGTCTGCACCTGCTCCTATCACTATTCATCTCATTGGCTACAGCAGACATAGCCTCTGAGAAGCAAGCTCTCCTTGCTTTTTCCTCCGCAGTCTACCATGGCAAGAAGCTCAACTGGGATCAAAACATCTCGCTGTGCTCATGGCATGGTGTAACATGCGCAGAGGATCGGTCACATGTATTTGCCCTTAGGGTACCAGCTGCTGGGCTGATTGGTGCAATTCCTCCAAATACTCTTGGCAAGCTTGTCTCCCTTCAGGTGTTAAGCCTGAGGTCTAATCGGTTGAGCGGAAGCATTCCTTCTGATGTCATCTCACTCCCTTCTTTACGTTCCATATTTCTTCAGCATAATGAACTGTCAGGAGATTTGCCTTCCTTTGTTTCTCCAGGCCTCATCACCCTTGACCTTTCCTACAACTCCTTTACAGGGCAAATGCCTACAAGCTTGCAAAATCTTACTCAGTTATCTATCCTGAATTTAGCAGAAAATTCTTTGTCTGGACCTATTCCTGATCTCAAGCTTCCAAGCTTAAGACAATTAAATTTGAGCAGTAATGAGCTGAATGGCTCAATTCCTCCCTTCCTCCAAGTATTCTCAAATAGTTCATTCCTGGGGAATCCTGGACTGTGTGGGCCTCCTCTAGCTGAATGTTCTGTTCTTCCTTCGCCGACACCCTCATTACCACCGTCGCAAACATTGCCACGACATGGAAAGAAAGTGGCTACTGGATTTATCATTGCGGCTGCTGTTGGAGGCTTTGCTGTGTTTCTGCTAGCTGCTGTTGTTTTCACCGTGTGCTTTTCAAAGAGGAAGGATAGGAAAGAAGCGGGAGCTGGTTACAAGAGCAAGGGAGCCGATGGTGCAAGGATTGACAAGCATAAAGCGGATGTGAGCAGTGGTGTCCAAATGGCTGCCAAGAACAAGTTGGTTTTCTTGGAGGGATGCAGTTACAACTTTGACTTGGAAGACTTACTGAGAGCTTCCGCAGAAGTCCTTGGCAAGGGGAGCTATGGAACCGCCTACAAAGCTTTACTCGAGGATGGCACTATAGTAGTTGTCAAGAGGCTCAAGGATGTTGTGGCAGGGAAGAAAGAATTTGAGCAGCAGATGGAGCTTATCGGAAGGGTAGGCAAACATGCAAACCTCGTGCCTCTGCGTGCTTACTACTACTCAAAGGATGAAAAGCTTGTGGTTTATGAATTTGTTACTACTGGAAGCTTTTCAGCCATGCTACACGGTACGCTAATGCCTTTCACCCCTGCATAATTTTGTTTGCCTAAAGATCCATTGTTTTGTTAGCATAAGACAAACATGCCTATCATCCCTGAGCTAGCAAAACTTACATGCACAAAATGACCATGCAGATAGCAAGCTATGATATGTAGAATATACACATTCATGAACTTCACTTTCTTATTCTGTTAAGAGGACATTGTTGATTACCCACACACTGAAAATGGCTCTAATTGTTTAGCAGAAACAAGAAAAAAAATAGCCTTTCTGTAGATGGTGTGGCAATGTTCATGTTCTGATTAAAGTGGTGATGAACAGGTATTAAGGGCCTTGTGGAGAAGACCCCATTGGACTGGAATACGAGGATGAAGATCATACTTGGAACAGCACAGGGCATTGCACACATCCATGCAGAAGGAGGCCCCAAGCTTGCTCATGGCAACATCAAGTCCACCAACGTGCTCCTGGATCAAGACCACAACCCTCACGTCTCAGACTACGGGATGAGCACTCTGATGAGCCTCCCGATCAACACCTCCCGGGTGGTGGTCGGCTACCGCGCCCCAGAGACCTATGAATCCAGGAAATTCACCTACAAGTCGGACGTCTACAGCTTCGGCGTGCTCCTCATGGAGATGCTGACCGGAAAGGCCCCCCTCCAGTCGCAGGGGCAGGAGGACGTGATCGACCTGCCCAGGTGGGTGCATTCCGTGGTCCGGGAGGAGTGGACCGCCGAGGTGTTCGACGTCACGCTGATGAAGTACCACAACATCGAGGATGAGCTGGTGCAGATGCTGCAGCTGGCCATGGCCTGCACGTCGCGGTCCCCGGACCGGCGCCCCACGATGGCAGAGGTGATCAGGATGATCGAGGACCTCCGGCAGTTCACCGCTTCCGAGAGCTGCGCCTCTTCCAATGAAAACCCCAGGGACTCCAACCCTCCATCGGCGTAAATGCTGGCTCTGGCTGGCTTGTTCGTCCAGAAGCAACTCAAGCACTGGCTTGTATTCCATGAACAAGCCTTGTATCCCTATAACTGTGCCAATAGTCCATGCGTGCAAGTTAATTGGTAGTCTCTTTAACATGTAATCTTAATACATTGCCTCTGCTCGTGGGCATCAGACATTGTTGTGTCAGTTGACGACATTGATTATCTTCTACTACCTGCTTGCAAGTAGCAGATGCGCACACATCGCTCCTCACAAGATCGCACCCAAGCAATAGATGAAGAACTACTCCCTCCGGTCACAAACATAAGATGTTCTAACCTTTTCTCTCTCTTTTTTGCGGGGGAAAATGATACGACCCTTCATAATAAAAACAGTAAGGTCATCGATGTTTCATCTGAAGCCGGTGTTGTCCGAAAGTACGATGCATCTACACTGGAGTATCTACGGCCAAGTAATGAAGATGAGCATACACTAGCTAATACTTGCATGCACGTTGATGCATCGGACAGAATTAATATAGGCCGAAAGAAGAAACAAGTCCAAGCTCAGGACCAGATAAGATTTATTTCAGAATTTGACATGCGTACAATGGTGCAAGAAATAAAGAGAGAAAAATATGAGATGAAAGCCAGCATAGAATGCTATTCTGTTTTAATTGTAGGAGGCAAAATCCATTCGGTGCATGCAACCAAGAATTATGGCTATTTAATTGGAGATATGGAAGGAGTTAAAGGAAGAATCAAGGTACTAGGATTTATGTTCTTGTTTCAGCCGCACAAATATCACGCAAGTGCAAACGTGCCGTGGAGTGTGTAGAGTCTGCTATGTTTGAAGGAAGTTGGATGGGGTCCACCAGAACAATTAAAGGAAATAATGGCGCACCAAATTATAATCCAAGCATATTTAGAATTAGATATTCCTTGTAACAGATTGCATGCTAAAAATAAGGCATGTAACCTTGTGGGTCTCGGGAGAAGTTTCAGGTTCGGTTTAGAGTTTCCTTTTATCTTTTTTTTGTGCATGTGTGCAGCCTATAAAGGCCAAAGGTGCGACCATGTAAAACTGAGGTTATATTTTGATATGAAATAGACAGATGTATTTTCAGGAGTAGACACTCGTATCAAGTTTTTGAGGTAGCTTTAGAAAACCTCTTTATTGCGATTTTTGTGAGGAAAATTGTTTTGCGCGTGAGGTGCCGTCGTCCAGATTGTTTCTCTCGTGCTGAGCCGCAAGGTTCAAACCCTCTACTTCGTGTGCATCGCGTGCGCGGGCGAGAGGTTACTGTTACTGAAGGTGGAGTACCGTGAAAGGTCGGGCCACAACAACGGATCGGATCTCACAACGAGGTTCGGTTCTCATCAGGTGGTATTCAGAGCAAGGTTATTCACGGTACAATATTTTTCTTCGAGTTCTATTGGATTTTTTATCATGAGGAAAGATTGTAGCTCGCAATTGATGATGTCGGTGGAGAAGGATCCATTGCGTGCCTTGCCGTGGTACCAATGCTTTACGCGTGTGCGTGTAGGGCCGGCGAGTTGTTCAACCTTGATGAATTGCTATTCTGGGATGAATTTGGTGAGTCAGACTATGGTTGATGCTTTGAACCTGCCGTTGATTGAACATCTAGAACCATATGAGCTTTGGTGGAAGGACAAGTTTGTCAAGATTATACATCGCGTCGAAGTACAGTTCAGTTTATGCGGATATGGTGATCTGGTCTTGTGTGATGTTCTTCCTATGCACATGCATACATGTTCGATAATGCTAGGAAAACCATGGACGGATAAAAGACAATTAACATATCATTCAGTGGGAGAATTTTCTTTTGCTCATGGAGGACAGTATGTACCGCTTGACTCATACACATTTGATCAGTATAGGGCGGATCGTCAGAAGCGAGATATTGCTCATGCCGCATCAGAAGTAGAAAAGAAGAGGGTCAAAGCTATCGAAAATTTTAGGGTGGTCGTTCAGTCTGCAAATAAAAATATTGTTGAAAAAATTGACTCGAAACCGAGGACGGTTTCGATTCAAGGGGGAGATGATGATACGACCCTTCGTAATAAAAACAGTAAGATCATCGATGTTTCATCTGAAGCCGGTGTTGTCCGAAAGTACAATGCATCTACACTGGAGTATCTACGGCCAAGTAATGAAGATGAGCATACACTAGCTAATACCTGCATGCACGTTGATGCATCGGGCAGAATTAATATAGGCCCAAAGAAGAAACAAGTCCAAGCTCAGAACCAGATAAGATTTATTTCAGAATTTGACATGCGTACAATGGTGCAAGAAATAAAGAGAGAAAAATATGAGATAAAAGTCAGCATAGAATGCTATTCTGTTTTAATTGTAGGAGGCAAAATTCATTCGGTGCATGCAACCAAGAATTATGGCTATTTAATCGGAGATATGGAAGGAGTTAAACGAAGAATCAAGGTATTAGGATTTATGTTCTTGTTTCAGCCGCACAAATATCACGCAAGTGCAAACGTGCCATGGAGCGTGTGGAGTCTGCTATGTTTGAAGGAAGTCGGATGGGGTCCACCAGAACAATTAAAGGAAATAATGGCGCACCAAATTATAGTCCAAGCATATTTAGAATTAGATATTCCTTGTAACAGATTGCATGCTAAAAATAAGGCATGTAACCTTGTGGGTCTCGGGAGAAGTTTCAGGTTCGGTTTAGAGTTTCCTTTTATCTTTTTTTTGTGCGTGTGTGCAGCCTATAAAGGCCAAAGGTGCGACCATGTAAAACTGAGGTTATATTTTGATATGAAATAGACAGATGTGTTTTCAGGGTAGACATCCGTATCAAGTTTTTGAGGTAGCTTTAGAAAACCTCTTTGTTGCGATTTCTGTGAGGAAATTGTTTTGCGCGTGAGGTGCCGTCGTCCAGATTGTTTCTCTCGTGCTGAGCCGCAAGGTTCAAACCCTCTATTTCGTGTGCATCGCGTGCGCGGGCGAGAGGTTACTGTTACTGAAGGTGGAGTACCGTGAAAGGTCGGGCCACAACAACGGATCGGATCTCACAACGAGGTTCGGTTCTCATCAGAAAAAATATATGTTCTAACCTTTTTTTGGGCAAAATATATGTTCTAACTTATTTGTGTGTTTGTTCACTCATTGCAGTCTGTATGTCGTATATATTGAAATATCCAAAACAATTTATATTTGTGATTTTAGAGTAATACTAGTATAGCACCATAAAAAGAAACATGCAAAAACTCCATCCCTTCCATATTATAAGTGTCTTGTCTACATCAGCGACATTTAGAGTGTGTTTGGTTCAGAAACAAAGTGAAATGAAATGTCATGATTCCGTTCTAGTAGAATGGGTCGGTTCCATCCTTGTGTTTGGTTAATGCAAATCTGAGGAATGGACCGGTTATGTTTTAGTGTTTGGTTTCAGATATGTGATGAAATGGATTTGTTCATCCCTACACTTGTCTGCTTGTGATTATGTAGAATATATTAAACTTTGAACTGGATTTCAGTCAATCAAAAACCACTGGATGCATTGGCACACACATATGGGCAAGATTAAGCTGAATTAAAAAAGAGCAGTGCATACACTGAATCAGATTTCAGAACACCAAAAACAGCCGGTTTCAGTCAAATGGCTGATCTCGACAAGACAAAGACTGAATTGGATGGGGAGCTCAACAGTACAGGGCTTAGCCCCAATCGCCGGCGCACTGGTTGGGCTCGCTGGGCGCCGGCACAGGACTGGAGACACCTGGGCGCGAAGACCGCGCCTAGCGGTGCACGAGGCCGCACAGCTGCGCGTACTACAGATCAACGCCGTCGCTCGCGGCCATCCAGCGCGGCCGTCTCGTGATGCATGAGGCCGTGCAGGAGCTGCTCGTGCACTCTGGTACGGATCTACGCCGCCGCCCGCCTCCATTAGCCGCCGTCTCTCGGTGCCCGCCGTCGCTCGCCTCCATCCAGCGCCGTCTCTCGGTGCCCGCCGTTGCTCGCCTCCCTCCAACGCCGCCTATTGCTACCCGCCGCCGCTCGTGTCGAGAGAGGGAGAGGCGATAGAGTTGCGGGAGTGCGAGGATAACGACCGGTTCCATGTGCTCCGCTCGATTTGGAGGTATGAGCGCGTTCCGCATCTGAGAGGAATATTCGGTTCGTGGGAACCAGTCGGTTACCGTTCCAGCTCTATACTCCTACCAAACACCAGAACGGGGCTAGGAACGGGTCGGTTACCGTTCCAGCTCTATACTCCTACCAAACACCAGAACGGGGCTAGGAACGGGTCCGACCCATGACATTCCGGTTGATGACTGCAACCAAACGCACCCTTAACACTTAGAACGGAACGGAGGGAGTAATAACCAATCAAGGTGGCCGTATCACCCACATACCAGAACTCAGAGAATACAAGGCATACCAACATTTCAGATGTTACTATAATATAAATCTGGCCAGTACAGCTTCTCACATGGTCAGACAAAGCCCTCTTGTATAAATCCGGAACAATAACTTCTCACGCCCCTGATAAAATTACAGGGGAGGAAGAAAAATCTATCGGCAGCAAGCACCGCCACAAATCACCATAGCGTCCATATCTCTGCAGAATCCAATGCACCCGTCCAACACATTCGCCACCATCTTAATGTTACGAAGAAGTTCCAAAAGCTTACTGAAAACTATGTCAGTGCAACAAAAAACAGGACTCCTCTTTCCAGCACACAGATCTCGAGCAGCCCGATGGGCAGATGTAGAGTTACTTTTGGTTCACCAAGTCTGCACCACTGACATACCTAGCAACAAACGAGATCAACCGGAAGGGTGCGCCAACAATGGGGGCATCAGTAAATGGAACCTCCTCAGCTGTCTGTGGATCATCTTCATGAATCAGTATATCATCCAACGGAACCGGCACGATTTCACCACTTGTTCTTGGTTCATCAAATCCTTGGCATGCATTTGCGTTCATGAGGCTCTGGCCAGCACCATTGCTGCTCGTTGCTTCTGCAACGTACACCGAA